CGGTGGGGCGGGGCGGGGGGGGGCCGGGCGGGGCCCCCCCCCCCCCCCCCCCCATCCTCTCTGGACATCGCGGGGGCCACGCTCGGACCCCACCATCTCCAGCCAGGGCTCGCCTCATCCCTGCCGCCGGATCGCAGGGCTCCGTGGACACCAGCACCCAGGAGCACTGGGGGTCCGGCACCGGGCCCCCCACCCACGAGCAAACACCACATCGGCCTGACCCACGGCCTCCTCGGTGGCCCTCGGCCTGTCCTGGGGACGTGAGGCTTCTTTTCGGGAAGGGTACGCCAGCCTCGTAGGCTCAGGGCCTGGCTCCCGCCCTCGGGAAGATGCTCCAAGCCGGAGCATTGGAAGGGACACCCCTCCTCGGCACAAGGTCCAAGGGCTGCGTCCCCTCCTTGCCGGTGCCTCCGAGCATCCCAAATGGGAACGTACGGGCTCTGCCGCGCTCTGGGCTCTGCCGCCCTCGGGTAGATGCGTTCTGCCTCCTCGGCCAACACTTGCTTATTTCTGATCTTGGATGTCATCAAGGGTGGAAAATGTGACAGGAAGGAAGGGAGGCTTTTTTTCCTCCTGCTAAATATGGACTGACATTAAAATCCAAATACTGTCGTGAAAGGAATCCCAGCCCCTGTTTGTTGGAGGAGGGAAAAACGATGTTTTCTGACTTTTCAGCTGCGAGGTTCCAGCTGGGAAGTTTCGCAAGGAGCGGCGGGGTCCTTGCTGAGAGCCTCAGGAATTTACTTTGCTTGTTCGCAGGACGCTCTCCGCAGCGTATTACGCTAAAAAAAAATTAGTCATCCCTTCTCTGCCTGTCTGTGGCTGGGGGGAGCTTGCTGCGAGCATGCAGGAGGCTTTGAAGATATTTAGGGATTTTTCCTCTCCTGTACAAAGACTTCTAGAAATGAAAGGGGCGCAGGCAAATAAAACTGCAGCCCCAGCAGGAGTTTTTCCATCCTTCTTTATTTTAATTCCTGTTGCTGCAGCAGCCGATGCCAGGGAAGGAGGTGCACGGGGTGGCTGCAGCCGATGCAGGCAGCTGCCGGGTTTGCAAGGAGGATTTATGTCTCTCTCTGTCAAGAATTAGATGCAAACTCATGCCATTATTCCCACGGTGAGGTTGGGAAACTAGCTCGATGCGGGGCTCTGGGAGGAGGAACGGGACCCCGGGGACGGTCACAGTGCTGCCAGCTCCCCCACTGACTTCTGCTGTGGCCATGATGAAGAGCTGGGACGTTTTGGGGGGGACACGGATCACGGCTTCGCTGGGACCCTGGGATGCTGCGCGAGAGAGACTTGGTGTCTGTGCTGGGCAGAAAACGGGCACTGCCACGTTCCCCTTCCGCATGTTCCTCTCCATCCCTGTTGGAGAGCTTTTCAGGGGGCTATCTGTGGGAAGCTCCAGAGCGTTTGCCTGATCTTTATAAAAACAGTTTGTTAAAGCAGTGAGGGGGATACTGGGAGGTGCTGAAAATAGATGTTTCCCGTTTCCAGGGGCATTGCTGTCCTGGCGTTGGTGCGGCTGTATTGTTTTCAAGCTAATAGGATACATAGCTCTGCTTTTCTGAAATGTCACTCTCAAATAACTGATGCTTTGTGCGGATCCCTGATATTGGTCCAAGTCCAACATCAACATCCTTGTGGAAGAGTAGTTTGAATTCCCTCTCTCCCCGTCTCCTCCCGACGACGACCTACGTCTGTTCTCCTCCGACCCTCTGTGTCTGCAGCAGGATGGCGGATCCCCATCCAGTGGGAAGGACGCAGGCTGCCTGACCTCTGCCGTGCTCGGCCCGCGAGTCTGCCGTAACCCCTTTGGGTACGGCAGTGCCGAGCCACGGCTGCGCCGTCGTGGTCTGAGCGATGCCTGGAAACACCGGGGAGCGTGGGGCAGGTTATTTGGGGTAGAACAGAGCGCCCGTACGCTTCTATAGGGTCAGGAGCAGTACAGCAGATGCACAAGCTGCTGGCTGGTGCTTTATTCTTGGTGTCCTATGGGAAGGAGGTCAGTCCTCACGGCCGCTTTCTGGTCTCATTCACAAATCGCATTTTCCTCTTGAAATAAAACAAATCCCCAGGCTTTCCTGTCGCGGTGGAAATCGTTTGAATGCGACCAGGTCCGTAAGCATCTCCGAAGCCTGCGGACAGGAAGAAACACTAGAGCGAAGAGGTAGGAAATGTCCGCGTTTTTAGCAGCGGGCTGATTCTTCTTTCCCTCCTGCTTTTGGTGAGATCCAGCTGTTTTGCTTCCAGGCTCGGAGGCCGAGAAGAATATCGCCAGCTCTCCTCTAGCTGGATCGCAAAATACCGCTGGGTTTTGTACATTGTGTTTACGTGGTTTGGAGTGGAAAAGGAATGGGCTGTTGGGGGTGTGTGGTTATCCGATTCGGATAACCGGAACATCGGCAGTCACATTAGGAAGGATTAATATTTAATATATGGGGTATGAACCATTGTGCTTAATCGCTATCTGAAGGGCTTAGGAAGAGATTTACCGATAAGCAAGTGATTCCCGAACTGTCCAGAATGATTTCTTGCATCTTCCTCAGGAGCAGCTGATCCTGGATATCGCTAGAAGCTGATCTGATCCTGTTCTTCCTGATGTCTCTAGCGTTTGTAAGTGGGTAGAGAGGCTTTCATCACAAATCCTTTCTTCTCATTAGACTCACAAAAAACACTGGAAACCCTTTTCTCAGATGCAACTCTGTGTGGCTGTTCTGTAAGCCGTAGTACCTGGCAGTGCTCGAAACTTATGTTTGTAGCCAAACCTCGTGGCAAATGTGGCCTGGGCTCTGTGGGCGCCGTCGCTGTCACATGCATCTGCCCGGCCACGAGTCCGGAGCTGGCTCACTCATACTTTTCTCTGGCTAACGTCTTCAGAAGACCTTGAATTTCATCTGTGCCTCCAGCGTGGTCCTGGAAACCCTTGTGACAGCGGCTCTGCTTCCCACATCTGCCCCACATGGTTGGTTTTTTTTTTCTGTTTGTTTTTTTTTTTTTTTCAGCGTAAGGTGTTACGTAGCACAGCGAGGCGGGGGCCGCCCCACGGGGTTGGGTGCTGCTGTGTCTGTGCAGGGAGGAGGTGATGGTGGGGGGCACGTCGGGGCACACGAATAACCCATCTCCACCGCGGGACCAGATCTAACCACGCGCTGTACGACTGCAGCCGGTGGGGCTGCGCATGGCCCGCGGGCCGGGGTTGAGCTGGTTTGAGGTTGGGCAGCGCAGGTGGGAGGCGGAGGTCTCGTCGCGACTCTGGTGGGACTACCAGGGCTCGCCTGCATTTGAGGGTTGTGTCGTCGTCTTGGGAAACCCTCCTTTAGGCTGCGGGAGGGTGCGTGCCTGCGTCCCCCTTCCTTCCCTGCCCCGAGTCAAAACTCGCGTAACCGAAAGCATCAGCCCTGGCCGCCAAACCCGCTTTTGCTGTGGTTACACATATGGTACTGCTGTGTTTATGGTGGCCGCAGTTCTGATGGTGGAAGTCGAAACAACTGAGTGTGGGTTGGGTTTTGGCATGTTGGTCATGTAGGAAATCCTGGTGGCTACTGTAACAGGCATGGAGGTCAGAAATTTTTTTAAAAATGGAGTGGGTACTGCTTTTTCCCCAAAACATGTGTGGTAGAACGCCCCTTTTATTCCATGAGCAAACAGATCGCTTGCTTAGGCAGCGAGTCCTCTTTATTCCAGAATAATTTGTTGTCCTAATTCCTTCCTGTTGAAGCAACTCCATTTTGCATGGAATAATTAGTACTAATTTGGACCTGGGACGGAAAACAAGAGTTCTCCGACTTCAGAAGAGTAGACAAGAGCATAACCTCTGCCTCTCCTGCGTGAG